CAGGTGAACACGCTCTTCAGAGCCACCTGCGTCACTTCCCCGTCCCCAGCAGCACCAGGACATTTACCCTTTGCCACTTCCCTGCCGGCACCTGCAAGAATTGCCCGCCCGGCTTTTTCCCCCCTAAAAACACCCGCCTGTTTTTCCCATCCCGGGGCTCCAGGCTGCGGCTCAGCTGCTGTTCGGTGTTTCCCAGGAGCAGCCCGAGCCTGGTGGCAGCACGGAGCACCGTGGCACTGCAGGGCCCCGACAGCACCCTCGGGCCGGGCTTGGGTGCTGGCACTGGATAGAACACTCCCACGGAAGCTCTGATTCACCCTCCCGAAAGTTGTAATTCCATGTCTGAGGTCAGAGCTTGGGCAAACAAAGCAGCGTTGGGTTTTTTTCCCTGTGCCAGCTCCTTCCCCCCGTGCCAGGGGATTCTTTGCACACCCTTGTGAAGAGCAGCGTGGAAAGCAGGAGGGGGGGAGCAGGGTGGGCTGGGGAGCCTTGAGGGTGCTGTGAGGGCAGGGTGGGCTCTGCCCCCCAGCACTGACGGGGCTGTTCCCTTCCCCCTGCAGATCATCCGGGTGCAGTCGCCAGAAGGGGTGAAGCGAATCACGGCCACGAAGAGAGAGACGGTGGCCACGTTCCTCAAGAAGGTGCCTGGGGCCTCTTGGGGCCTTCCCTGCTCACTTGGTGGGGCTCCCGTGGGACTTGGGGAGCACCTGTGGCTCATCCAACCCTGTGGCTCTCCCTGCTGGCCGCGGGGAGGAGCAGCATTCCTCATGGAAAACAGGGGGTTTTCTTGCTGTAGCCCAAACCGGTTTGCTGACAGAAATTAGTACAGTTAAAGAAGGAAACTCACTGCACTTTGCAGCTGGAGTTTCCCGGGCTGGGATGTTCCCTGTGGGAGGACAGGTTTTTAGGGAGAAACTGACTGACAGTGGCCCAAGAAAGCAGGTTGGTGGCCAAACCTGCTGCAAGGGCCTGGCCCCTCCAGTTAAAGCTCAGCTGGTTGGTTTGCATTTTTAATATCGTTTTAATGTGCTTTTTGTGCTGCTGGTTTTCCAGTGTGGCTTTGGAGAGAGCATGGAAGGGATTAAAGTGAGCTTTTAAGGCAATGTGGGAGCGTCTGGGATCTCCAGGGAAAGGTTTCCAGCCACAGAAGATGTTGAGGGTTTGGAGCTGCTGGGTGTGGATCTGGCTGGAACTTGTTCCTGGGTCTGATGGAACTGCTCAGTGTTTAAAGTTTGCTCTTTGTGGGAGAGCAGTTCTCCATTTGCTTCCCCCTGGAGCTCTGCTGTAACCTGGAATCCTCCCATTGAGATTTCATAGAATTTCTTTGCTTGGTAAGAGAAGTACTTTGTGTTCCTGTGTCTGAAGGAGTCCTGTGGGTCAGCTGGGATTCCTTTACCCCCACGAGGGGGAACTGGACCCTCTGCTGTCTGTGAGCCATTTGCTTTGTCCAACAATCCCCACCTGCCCAAGTGAAAATCCTGATGGATTTCAGGTCAGAGCCACCTGCTGCCCCCTCCAAGCAGTCCAACCCCGGGAAGAAAAGCCTTGCTTTCAGAATCCCTGGAACCTGAGCAGAACAAGCTGCTGGTTTGCAAGGGCTCATGTTACCTGTGGAACAATCCTGCAGTTGGAACAAAAGCCTCAGCACTCACTGGAGGTGCCTGTTGATCCAGGGAAAATGATCTCCTCGTGCTGAGCTGAGCACAAGGAGTGTTTGGGCTTCTTCCCTGGTGCAGGGGTTGCTTGAAAGAGAAAACCAGCACATTTTGCCATGTAAGATCCCTGCACATGAACAGCTGTGGATTTTAACACTGAAATGGGAATCCATGGGGTGGATTTCATATGCAGCTGGATAGCTGAAATGAAAGAGGCATCAAATTGCTGCTTCTGTGCTGGCAATTAACTTAGATCTCCTTCTTGACGAGGAGAAGCTGCTTTATTTTGATCAAAATAAAGGCTATTAACTTAATAATTTAGGAGGAAACTTTTCATCTAGAGAAACTTCTAAATCTTTTAAGTGGCAAAATATGAACATTTCTATTGCTGTGAAAAGGTTTGATTGATTAAGAGTCAAGTGGCCTTAAACTGAGCTGGGGAGAGGGTGAGTGGGGAAAAAACCTGCCTGAGGACTGAGGGATGGTTGTTGTGAGGGTGATTTCCTCACACTTGTGGCTGCCCCATCCCTGGAAGTGTTGAAGGACAGATTGGATGGGGCTTGGAGCAGCCTGGTCTGGTGGGGGTGGGACTGGGTGATCTTCAAGGCCCCTTCCAACCCAAACCAGTCTGGGATTCTGTGATAATTCTATCAGAAGAAAAGAGGCAAATGGAGGAAAACAAGAGCAGCAGGAAGAGTGAAACTCGTGTAGTAGCTGGTAGGGGAGAGTGGAGCAGAGGGCAGGAGATCCTCAGAGGTGAAGATCCAGTCTAATAAATTCTGGTCATAGGAAGGTGGGAATGACTTGGCTGGAGTGAGAGAACTGGGATCATGGAGAGGAGAGTTTCCCTGCTGTGGTCGTGATGGTGCTCACCTGGATTGAGATAAAATGCTGCCTTTGGGTAGTGTGAGTGAGATACATGTTCTCTTTAAGTTCCTTTTTTTAATTGATTGTTTGTGTCACTGAGTGTTTCTGGTTTTCTCTTTGGGATGAATTCGGCTGAAGTTTTGCAGTTTTGTGTTCCCTGAACTTAGTGTTTGCTCTGAGCAGCTTTCTACATCTGACCAAGGGGTGTGAGATACCTCAAACCTTGTCATTCTTCTTTCTCTTTCAGGTGGCAAAAGAATTTGGTTTCAGGAATAATGGGTTTTCCGTGTACACCAATAGAAACCGGACAGGAGAGATCACAGCTTCACAAAACAAGTCCCTCAACTTGCTGAAAATCAAGTGAGCCCTGACAGGGGGTACTGGGAGAGGGGTTTCTTGGCTTCTTTCTTGTCTTGCCTTTGCTCCTTGTGGTGAGGCAGCAGCAGGCCTCCCATGTGCTCTCCTGAAGCCTGCAGCAACCTCCCTCTGCCCTGCTTTTCCTCACACTCTCCTTTTTTTGGGGGGGGGGCAGGTCTGAGGGGGTGGCTGTGACTTGAGGGACTGTCCCAAGTCCCTTTTCCCTCCTGGACCTGTTGCTTCTCTCCATAGGCTCCTTTCACCTTCCTCATTTTCCCTCAGTCATGTCTCCTGTTTATAAGATTTGCATTTCTTGTGCAGAGCAGCAGGAAGAGGTGGCTGATGGAGGGGCTTGGGGCAGCCAGGCCTGCCTGGCTGTGTGCAGCTGGTGATGAACCACATGTTCTTCTGGGCTCCGGGAGGTCTGTTCCCCAGCAGCAAACCCTGAGAGCCCTGTGTTCTTTTTCCCCACCCCTAGGCACGGTGATATGCTGTTCCTCTACCCCTCCAGCCCAGCTGGCTCCTCCTCAGAGACCATGGACACCTCTGTCTCCCAGGGCTTGCGGCCCGTGGGGGCCCCCCAGGTGGTGGAGGATGAGATCGACCAGTATCTGATCAAACAGGATGGGAAGATTTACCGAAATCGAGACCAGCAGCTGTGAGTAGGGGTGGGCTTTGTTACTGCTGACATGTCTGGGCCTCACCAGGGCTTGCAAGGTCTTGTCTGAAGGCAGCAGCCAGGAAACCTGCCCTGGGAACTGCCCTCTGAACCACTGCTCTGTCCCTTCCAAACGTTCACAAGGGAAAACAGCCCTGGCCATTGTCCTGGGAGGTTAAATCGAGCTCTGGTGAAGGAAGGAAGCTGATACCAAAATCCCAGGGTCTTTGCCAGGAAGGACTCATTCAGAGCATCTATTGTTCAGATCAAGGTGACCCCATGCTATGGGACTTGTGATCGTGTATTTTGTGCTCCTAGGACATTTGGGGCTCACTAGATTAGAATGAATACTTTGAATTCTTCCCCAGGATGTCCTGGCAGCTGGTGCTGTGGAGCAGCCCTGGGTTGTGCTCAGTGTGTGCCATATTGCTCCATCAGCAGGGGCCTGCAGCAGCTTCTCTTCCATATGGTCTCCATATGTAGCTCCCTGATGGTTGGGTCCCAGGGTGGCAGGGCCAGGTCTCATCTCCCAAGAGAGGCACAGGCAGGGAAGCAGCTGGAGCAGCTGCCTCAGTGTCACCCAGCCAGCACTGAGGTCAGGTTTGGTTCCTAAATCATGGGCAGCTCCTCTGGCAGAGCAGGGACCTGAGCTGGGTCAGTGTTTCTGGCTGCCCTGCAGCCTCTCCGTGCTTGGGCAGATCCTGCAGTTGGATTTGATGACCTTAAAGGTCTTTTCCAACCTAAACGATTCTGTGGCACAGCCTTGGATCTCTGTCTGCAGCACCTCATCTAGGGTGTCCTAAGCAGGAGCACTTGATGTGTCTTCAGATCCAGCCACTCCTTGTAAAGGAAGAACACAGAAGTGAAGGGAATGAGTGGAAGTATCCAAGGGCAGAGAGGTGGAAGTGAGACTTGGGTCTCTGCCCACTTGATTTTTGGCTTCCTTTCCATCACATGCATTTCTAAACTTGCTGTGAAACCCGGGAGTCCATTTTGCTCACAGAAACTCAACCAATTCCAGCTTTGCCAACCCCCTGAGCTGCAAGCAGCTTAGGTAAACAAAGCAGCTTGTATGTTTGGTAGAAGTAATAATGCAATGGTGAGTTAATACTGCTGTAAATCTACACTGATGCCACTAAAATCTCCTCTGTCTGGCTGGTTGGGTTTTATTGCTCATCATTAACAATGTCCCAGTTGGCTCGTGGCGTGGTGTCTGTCCTGGTTGTTGGTTTGGGGCTGCAAAGTCCCTTCTGAAGGCCTTGAGTGAAAATTTTACAGAATTTTCCCTTGCAACAGAATCTCTTGCCCTTCCCCGTTGTCTTCTCTGCCATATAGTTTATCTTTAGTGCTGCAGCAGCAAGGAAGTTTGGAGACAACAGAGCCTTTAGGTGGAAAAATCCTATCTAACCTTTTCAGGCTGGTGATAAATGAGGGAAGTGTCACATTATTGAAGCAATAAAGGCAAAACCCACCACTCCACGGCAGGAACATTGTCTTTCACTAGACCACATTTTTCACCAGAATAAATGAAGGTATTGTTCTTAGCAGGGAGCCAAAGCTCAGCAGTGGATATTTATGAGAAAAAGAGTGTGTCTGGGCTTGTTCCTGTGTTTGTGAGTGCAGATCAATCTGAGCAGGAGGGGATGCTGGTGCTGGGCTGGCTGCATTAGCAGCCTTTAGTGGTCCTTGCTGGACATTATCTGCCACAATCCTTTCTTAAAAGCCTTTGCTGCAGCTGGATCCCATCCGTTTTGTCCTCACCAGAGCCAACATCTTTGCTCCTCCCTAGGGCCCTGCCTTTGAAAACTCCCACTGACCTTGTGGTGGGGCAGACGTTGGGGGAATGTTGTTGTTGTTTGGGGTTGTTTCTTTCCAAGCCATCACCACAAAAGGAGATATTTCCCCCTCTGGTAACTTTACCCAGCAGGTTTTTATCTGCCCGCTGAACACACACTTCCCTGTTTGTTCCAGACCATCCTCTAGTGCCTGATAAAGGGGGAATGTTTTAGTTGCCTTTTTGCTCAGCCCCCCGGGCCAGCCCTCTGACGTAGGTTTGAAATCCTTTGCACTGAAACACGACCCCGTTGTGGGGCTGTAAAACTTGAGCAGCCGTGACCTGAGCGGGGCTCACGTGGCTGCTCAGGGAGCAGAGCTGAGGGTCAGACCCGGGGGGCTGGGGGGTCTGATCTTCACCTGGGACTCTCAGATCGAGCCTGAAGCTGTTGCTGTCTCTTTATGTGAAATGACCTTGTGGGGACCCCTCTGTAGCATTCCCCGGGGGGGTGGGGGGTTTCTCAGAGCCATGTGAGTGCACAAACCTGCCACACCTCTGGGTCCAGAGGAGCTGCTGCACTCGGGCTCTTCCCTGATTTAGGATTTCACACTGCTGCTCCTTCTCTTCACGCAGGTGTCGCCACGGCCCCCTGGGTAAATGTGTGCACTGTGTCCCACTGGAGGTAAGAGCAACGAGAAGGTGCTCCACAAAGTCACACACCCACTTGGGTTCAGTTTTCTGCTTGGAATGCTCTCCCTCAGAGAGCTGCCCAGGTAGGGATGGTAGCTCTGGGTCAGAGGCCTGCTGTGCACTGTCAGAGGTGCTGGATCTCATCCAGGATCACTGAAGCTACAGGCCTTTGTGACCCTGTTTGGTTTTTTTTCTGGTTACTGCTTTTGTTTTCTGCAGTAATGAGTTTAACAGAAAGTGCTTTAGAAAAGCTCCAATATATTCTCTGGATCCTCTCGTTCCATGTATCCCAGCACTTCCCAGTTTATCCATGTATTATTCAAACTGAAGGCAGCTCCAGTGACACCTACAAATGTGCTGGGCTCTGTGATTTACGGCAGGAGGCAGCGATGCCTCAGAAGTCCCTGCCAGCCAGGATGGCAGTTCCCTGCCGTGGGCTGGGAAGTTCTTTGGCCTTGTTTGAGCAGCTGGGCTTTTTGTTTGCCGTTTGATATTGAAAAGGAAAAAAAGCACTCTGCCTTTGAGGCTCCTCCTGATTTGTGGAGCCAATCTGTTACAAAAGTAGGAGGTGATAACCGAGCGGGCTGTTGTGGGCCCTGCTGTTCCTGCCACAGGAGGAGCTGCCTGGAAAATGAGCCGAAATCTTCTTGATTGTTTCCACATTGAGAGCGATTGGGGTTGACTCTAGAACATCCATTTGTTCAGTGATCAGTGTATGAGCAGACAGGTGCCTGACCTGCCTTTTCTTTGTGTGGTGGTTTTTGGCAGCCTTTCGATGAGGATTATTTAAACCATCTGGAACCCCCTGTGAAGCATATGTCCTTCCATGCCTACATCAGGAAGCTGACTGGAGGGGCCGACAAGTAAGAAAATATCTTGTCTTGAAGTTGGAGCTGCTTTTTCTTTTTTTTTTTTTTTTTTCTTTCAAATACCAATGGAAGTACAGGCAGGTCTCACCAGAGTAGTGTTGGGTACAATTATTGAATGGCAAAGTGAGGAGAAAACAGCACAGTAAATAAAAAATAAGCTGGGGGGGAGAAGACGGGGAAAAAAGAAGGCCAAATGGAAGGAAAGAGGTTCCCTAATTACACCAAGCTCTGAGCCTGGGTCTCAAATCCTGTGGAGAAACATTGGGACTGTGCTGGCCTTGGGGAGCTTTTATCCACCAACATTTTTAATTACCTCCAAACGTGAGCAGCACAGAAAGAGGAGCCTGACATTGCTCAGGGCTTGGTTCTGCTCTGTCACATGCTCCCTGTGCTCTTAGAGAAACCCTTTCCTTTTGTGGTGCTGTGGTTCACCACCCTCCAACTGGGAAAGAAGTGGTCCCACCCTGCAACGGGATGGAGGATGCTATGGGACACAGTGCTGAGCAGAGCACTGAAAGAAGCATTTCTTCCTGGCACATGCGTGCAGTGAAGGATCTGAAACCCCCTTGGGTGGTGTCAGGGAGCCCACTGTGTTGTGAAATGCAGCTCCTTTAAATACATTATGCAGAGGTGCCACCTTCTCTCCCCTATCCCTAAATGCCACTGGGATTTTCTGATGTCTTTGTGAAATGCAGCTCAAGGCTGCAATGCTTTGATTTGAAGAGAACTTCCCTTTGCAGGAAGCCTTCTGCACATGAAAGGAACTCTAATTTGCCCTGCCAGTGTCATCTATCACTTCCCATGTGCTGCATAAATTATTTAAGCAGGATCCTATGAGTTTTCTTCACTGCTCTTGCTCTAATACCTGTTCAGGAGCTGGGCCAGGAGCCTCATGACCTCCCTGGATGAGTGGGCAGCAGAGGTGGCCTGGGGAGAGCATGAATGGAACATCCTCCCCCAGTGGGTCTTTGCTTTGAGATCCTCTGAAGATGCAGAGTATTGGTGCCATCATGTCTCCTCTGCCCTGCTTCCTCTGTCAGAATTCTAGCCACTTGCTTTTTTTTTATTATTAAGAAGCATCTACTGTGCTAACAGCACCTTTCTCTTTTCCTGCTTGCAGGGGGAAATTTGTTGCCCTGGAAAACATCAGCTGCAAGATCAAATCGGGCTGTGAAGGGCACCCTCCTTGGCCAGAAGGCATTTGCACCAAGTGCCAGCCAAGTGCCATCACCCTCAATAGACAGGTGAGACCAAGCTCGTGGGAGCCCTTCTGCTTAAAGCTGAGAAGGGACTTGACTTGGAGAAATGACTTAATGAGCAGCCAACTTGGAGCAAAAAGCCTTTGTGTATTGGCAGTTGTTGGGGAAACGACTGCTGAGCTCTTCAGTCCTTGCAGCAAAGGGCTCCAAGGTGGATCTGGGTCAGCAGTTTCCCCTTAACGAGGAGGACATCTGAGCTGGCACCACTAGTGA